AAAGCAAATATGGCAGGTGAAATAGTCCCTTTGACAGATTCTGCTCACAAAACATTTTTCAAAGAAAAGCTTCCTTCCCTTCCCCCTTTCCTCCCCACTTGAGTATGGCTTTGCGTTCTCTTCTTGGGGTGAACAAAGCTGAGGGCAAACAAGTACTGGATTTATGCTTTGACTCTTCCCATGTATTTATTTACTGATTCATACTTCTCCAGAAAGGAGAACAGCTGCACTAAGAGAAGGGTGATAGGCCTCTCGTTCCCATTCATCTTGCTCCAGGATGCCCATAAAAATGTGAAGACAATCTAGTCTGTGCATGCTTTTATTTATTTGATTTATTAGATTTTCAGCCTGTCCCATTAGCCACACGGCTCCCTTTATTTCAGATCTTACCTGCCTCAGATCTAGCATTGTAATGGCAGTCTGAGACTCCACAGATATTAAATGATATGGAGGGGTAAATGAAACCAGACAAGGCAACATTAATGCATGTAACAATTCATGTGAAATGCTGTGAAATGATGCAGTAAAATAGGCCAGCTTAGACATGTTGCTCTGTCTGTAACACAGAGAGCCATGGCTTCCTGGCTGCTCACCTGACCCTCCTGCAAAGTGAAAGAAGAAGGGCAGATTAAAAGATCAGGCAATTTTGAAACAACTATGCATGCCATGCTGGACTTCTCTAACCCTATCCTTATTCAATGAAAAAGGGGGATATAGTGTGAGCCCGAGCATACTCATTTCTTTCCATTTTGGTCACAACAAGGGAGCAAAGGAAACTTCTACAAGGTTCCTACAGCCATATATCTGGACCTTGCTGAACTGTGCCAAAACCCCAACAAGCATGAACCTCTGTGCAATGCTCGCTCTTTGCTGCAGCTCCTGACGAAAGGCAGATGGGGAAAAAGATGTAAATGTGAAGATTCCACCCTGAGCAGAGGCTGGGACTGGAGGAGTCCCTTCCAGCTTTTTGGTCACCCAGACAAGACTATACTTGTACAATCTAATATTTCTCCTCCCGCCAACCCCTGCCCACAACCCCCGTTCAACAGTACAGCCCCAGGTTTTTATGATATATCCATAGGGACTGCACAATAGACTCAACACGGATAATGGCTACTGGAGGATATAAAATGCATCAAAAGAGAAAGGCAACAGGGTAAGAAAATTCAAAGCCACCAAAAATAATTCTACCCACTATATGGGGCTGGTGGATAGCAGGAAATAACTTTAAATGTATGGACATGTGTAATAGTGTCTATGTTCCCACAGAGCCAGGGAAAAGAGCTACTTGCCATTCATTTTCTAGGCCAGATTCTTTGGATGTAGACCAGGTATAGACAGCCTAGCACTAGTAATATGTTTTTTTTTTTTTTCTGGGAAAAAAAATCCTTTGGAAATTAGCTAATTGGCATTGGAAAATGTCCCAATGCCCTCCAAAATGATCAAATTGGCCTCTTTATTTAACTTGTATTTAATAAATAACAGTACTTTAAAAGGAACCCATTTTCTTTTTTAAAATCCCAATATACCAAAAATATTCGACTGAAATATTTGAGCAAAGATAATTACAACATTAATTATTTAATGAACTTTAAATGTTATATTAAATAGAAAGTTTATTTGAATGCTTGCAAACATTTAAGGACAAAAGGTGATCATAGTTCTAAAAGTTCATTTTATGTATTTTATTTATTTGATGAATTTTTTGCATTTTATACGAGATTTTAATGATTGTAAGCCGCCCCGAGGCTCATGCGATGGGGCGGCATATAAGTTGTCTAAATAAATAAATGAATAAAAATAAAACTGTAGGACATGTATAATAAAAATAGTTATTACTTTATTCCATACAATCAAAGGCTTAGTATAATAAAGAACAGAAATGCTGTTAAAACCAAGGAGCAGAAATTTGATTCTCTGCTTCTTTGTTATGAAGGGGAAAGTGAGGTATCTTGTCAGCTATCTATAAAGTGGTGCCATGATTCAAGCCTCTGGGATACAAGTCACTTTAAATACCGTCAAAGAACAAACAGCTCTCTTTCTGCAGGTTGTGATGGCATCACCACAGCTGGTTTTGCACATTAGACTATAAGCTGTCAAAACTCTGCTGAGCTGTAAGTCAGTATTAATTGTGCATTGTGTGCATCTGTTGCTTTATTATTCAGTGCCATTCAGACACATTCATTGCCAAAGTGTGCCTCTTCTAAGCAATTTTATGCAACATAATTTCCTTTATAGCAAGTTGGTGCATTTAGAAGAAAAACCTAAAGGGACTGTCTCCTGTGGAAAAAATAATATGCCCAAACCACCATATAATTTTCACACTAACAATCTGTGCCTGAGGCATGATTTTAGTCCATGCCAAACCCTGAAGTAGCCATGCTATGGCTGGAAATTATTTAGCCCAAATAATGGTTAGAAAATGTGGCAGTAATATAATCCACATGAGTAACCAGTTGGACCCTGTGAGTCATTAGAAAGTTCTGCCAACATTTTTGTACAAACTGGACTTGAATGGTTCGTGACAATGCTTAGAAACATGTATGAGGTATTGCATGTAAACCTATGACTTGGCTCCTGACTGTAATAATAAGAATTCTCTTTTTATATCAGAAAGTAGCTGTAATGCCATTTGTCCGCATTTTTCAGGGACCATGTGGAATGCAATCTAGCTGCTGAAGCCAATGGAGGGTTAACAGGAAAGACAAACTGACAAAAGCTAAAAAGCAGGACAGGAAGAGTGTTGCGCATCTCGTTATTCTGCTGATACGAGAAGACAACCATACAAATACTTCCCGAGAACGGCAGAGGTTTAATCAAGCTTAGAGGAGACTTCTGAAGGAAGGAATTATCTACATACCTGCTCTATTCATAGTTTTCAATATTTTCAGGCTGGTACTCACTTTAATCCACCCCTGCCCCATGCAAGATAGAACTTTATTTGAATTGTTCACCGGGGTGACAAAACACTCTCCTTAATATGTGTTCCTCTCTTCCTTCCTCTTAAAAGTCCTAATGGGAAGACAACTGTGGTAGTTTCTTATGAGTAACCCTTGTTAAATTAGAGATTAACATGGCTAGGAGGTCAAATCTATTTGCTGAACCCTACTATTCTACACTGATCCCTTTAAGATCACTTTTGCAAAGATTAAGGACTGGCAAAGATGTAGAAGTTGTTAACTTCCAGATAGCACCCAGATGAATCTTTTAATACTCTGATATGAAATGAGACAACCACATGGGGACTCATCCACCTTCATATAATCATATCACCAATACCAGCAAGGACCTAGAATGAGCCAGACGGAACAATGGCATCCACACTTATCTCAAGCACTTGCTACTAACAACTGCTCACTCTAGATGGTAACTGGAATAGCAGGTGCGCAGTAAAGGAAAATGTGTACCTTTGCAGTATCTTCAACAGCAATCTATTCAGAATCGTTAAACATAGCTACTGTTATAACTGATCCAGGCAAACTATCTTTTGTTCAAAAAAGAAAGGGGGGAAGGGAATCTGAACAGGTGATGCGAAGTGTGCGAGTCCCTTGGACCGCAAGGCGATCCAACCGGTCAGTCCTAGAGGAGATCAACCCTGACTGCTCTTTAGAAGGCCAGATCCTGAAGATGAAACTCAAAGACTTTGGCTACCTAATGAAAAGGAAGGACTCCCTGGAGAAGAGTCTAATGCTGGGAACAATAGATGGCAAAAGACGAACGGGACGGCAGAGAATGAGGTGGCTGGATGGGGTCACTGAAGCAGTTGGTGTGAGCTTAAGTGGACTGGAAGCCCTAGAGGAATGTTGTCCATGGGGTCATGATGTGCCGGACACGACTTCGCAAATAACAACAACAACAAATGTTACATTTGAACCAAAATGAATGTGTGTGTCAATGTTTCGAGAGAACAACAAAGAACACTTGAAATGGCTGTATAATTCATAGCATATAGATGTATGGATCAAATGCGACTTTTATATATATTGCTACAGAGGCACTGAACCAAAAGCCCAGCTGAAGCAGCATACAATCGCCCTCTTATAACATCCACATGTAATGTTTAATTTTATTGATTTATTGTATTTATATGCTGCCCAATAGCCCAATGGACACTCTGGGCAGCTTACAGTAAAACAGGAAAAGGAACAACAAAATAACAGTTAAAAGCATAGCATCCAAGTAAAGCAACACACAATTGGCAAAATTACAAGGCACACAGTAACAGAAACTACACACATGAAGGTATGAAACAAAGCCAGAGGGACACTTGCCCAAAGCCTCCATGTGTTATATGAACATTTAAATCTAGGACCAAGTATGATCTGATGGATGACAGCACCCAGCAACAGACATATATGCCCTCCTCCTCAGTCACGAGGCTATATTCTCTCAGGAAACCCTACTACTTTATGTTTTGCTTTGAAAAATGTAGCCAGTATCCAGTGACTCAAAGCAAATGAACTGTAACACAAAAATGAAGTATTTGCCATTAATTCATAGCTGTTGTATCAACTTCTGCAGCGGATTACCATATTTGTGTAGGTATGATATACATACACATATGCAGTATTGAAGACTCCAAATAAAATACACTACCAATATCTTTTTCATTTATAGAAAGTGGCAACAATGAACTTTTTATCTGTTGTTTGCCCCATATGACAACTCTCATGAATTCTTCGTGTTAGTGAACCCGTCATATACATGTACTGTTTGCGTGAAGAGTAATTTTAATGCAAACAATAAAGTGAACTGTTTCATAATGGCTTTTAATAGGAGCATAATGTCCATTTAAAGAATTTCAATTATATTTGCATGTAAGTTTGATGAACTTATCTTAGCTCTTTATAATTTCAAACATGGTAATCTTTCTCCCCACACATCTTTTAGGAAATTTTGTGAAGTGCAAGATTTTAACATGATCTATCAGCAGGAATCTGATATAAAGATTCAAATAAATAAATCTACCTTAAAAAGAATCAACTTCTTGTAAATCCTACCTGATACAGAGACAGTATGTGATCGAATTCCTTGCTTCTCACTGTTAGCCAGCCTGCAATACAGAAGTTCAAATCTGTGAATATCGTAAATTATACACAGTTCAAGACACTGAGAATTCATTCTCACAGAGTACCTACTGCAATTAGCAGGGCCAATCCATTTTCCAAGCAGATAAATTCTGCAGGGGAGGAAGAAAATAACCCTACCATTTTAAATCCACCTGGGGGAGTAAGAGTTGAAAGAATGCTCTGAAGAGCCAATTTTAAGCTCAGGATTCATCTTGACCATGTCAGAAGAAGCACAAATGTCTTTGTTGGATGCTCGATGAGCAAGCTTGAATTTAGTTTGAATTACTTTTAATCATCTTTGTTTACCTGGCCCTGTTCAATCTGCTACTTGCATCCAAAAAGAGAGAATCCTTATCTCAGGTGTACGAATTCCATACGAATCCTGACATCTTTGTATAGCTAACGACTTAGGGTATATTCATCTCAAATACAAATTCATCCCTGCATAAATTTTACTGAACTTACTACAGCTTTGTTCTTAAGACTGTTGTTACTATCCACCTAATTCCACTGGTGGTTGTACATACACAGGGCTTTAAACGTTAAACAGCATGAGCAGAATAAGCCTACAGTCCTGTACACTTACTTAGCTGAACTCAACAAGATTTATCTTTGAGTAAACATGTACAGGACTGAACAATAAAATCAGTCATTAATCTTCCGGAATTTATATAACCACCATTTGACATTACTATGCAGAATGGCTCTCTCTTGCTCACTCCCTCTACACAGAAACACACACACATATCCAATTATATGGATAAAACTGCATACATTAGGGGAAAAAATCTGGTTCAGCAAAAGAAGCCATTCTGGATTAGAGATGCTTTGTGAAGAAGAATGTGAAGTTATTAGTGGCTACTGGCACTTTTGGGGGAGTGCTACAATCTCAGCTGCGGAAGTTAAAAGTTTCATTTTCTTCTTCATGGACCCAGGAAAATAAAGTAACTGGTCTAAACTGGTCTATGGTTTTATTACATCAACCTAATTAAATCATTCTTAGTACCTAAACTAAGTCCTAGCAGAACTTTTCAATAGCTGCCCAACACAGTGCAGCTTGTGTCCAGAGAGGCTTTAGTCCTAAGAAAACCAGAGTTAGAATCACTCAGATTTGGAAATTTGAGGGATAAGGAAGAAAAACAGTAAGCTTGCAGGCTGGGAAGGAAGGAATGGGAAATAGAAAAGCAAAGGGGTTGAGAAATAGCAAGGCTAGAAAATGGTAGGGAGTGGAGAACAGCAATGCCAAGCGATAGAAAAGAGACAAAGTGCAAAGTCAGAGCCCAGAAAAGTAAAGCAAAACCACTATCCTAGTATTTTCTGAGATATTTTAAAAAGCAATTTTTCTGATGGGGGCAGAGAAAGAAGCAAGAAAATTGTGGGTGCTGTCAGAAGTGCCCAACAGAGCCACAGGAATCACTGCTGAGAGCTAAAGAGATAATGAATAATGGCAATTTTATTCCATTTTGTATCTTTGTTTTCTTGTCTTTATGACTAGTTTTATTGCATTTTTTCAGTATCTCAGTTTGCCTATGGGAAAACAATGCATTACAATTGGTCATGCACCAATCATGCTGTGAAAGGGCAAGCCCCCCCTTTCTGGCAGCCATGGTTGTAAAAAAAAATCTTATTTAAATTGAGGTAGACAGTCACTTAATTGGATTTGGATTTTCCAAAAGCCATAGACATTTTGTGGGAGGTTATTATGGTGCCTAGACTCAACTCAGACAAGTTAACTTTTCCTAGAAAAGAGGTGCCCACAGCAAGTATCCCAGTAGGCCTTTCCGAGACAGCGGGGCTCTGGTAACTGCCCAAGGATGCCAGGGGTCAATAACCGCAATGCAATTTGGCTTGTTTGGACTATGTATTCTTTAGGTGTGTATGCACACAGAAAGCACATGACCACAGGTGAAATAAACATAGTAATTGGGGAGCAGGGCACACACAGACACAGCATGGGGGGGATTAAAACACTTTAACTGTTCAATCAACAGCACTGTGTCCTTTCATAATGTCCCTAATGCATTTTATGAAACACTGCACTTTTAGGTATGTTCTTCCTATTGAAACCGTTCAATTCACCTCCGAAGAAGACACTCGCCCAATCACACCAAAGTCTATCTCAGCATTAGACGCCTGCAAAGCACTCGATTGAGGCTACAGCTTGTGCAAAGCTTGAACAGGAATGTGCCTTAGGTTGCTGATGGGTGGCTGATATCACTTCAAAGCAGGGGGACAAGGGGCTGAAGGCTGACACTCATGATTTTCATGGTGGTACCAACTTTTTCTCAAATTGCCAACTATACCCATGAGCTCAGAAAGGATGGGCTACCCCTGTTGCAAAGCATTCTTAAATTCTATACATAAAATATCAGGACTTACTTTGGTATGGATGGTAAAGCTCTTTCACCTTCTGCATGAAAGTAAAACATACAACATCAAATATATAAATTAAAATATATTGCTTGAACAGGGAAAGAACTAACTAAAGTTAATTATATTTTCACATTATAAGAAGCTATGCTTTTTTATAAACTCCCTATAAAATTTCCAAATGGCTCTCATTCATGAAGAACACAGATCTTAAAACGTTATACTGGCTATTGCACAAGGACAAAAAAGTAGTATTGTTTGGTCAGAAGGCTCAAAACTACAGGAAAGTCTTGGGAATTTTCAGAGCAATTTGAAGTTTTATCGTGCAGGTCAACTTGTGGCTTTTCTTTCATTTTGTCATATGATTCTCACAACTTCTACAAAAGGCTGATATATGGGAAGCAAAGGCTCACGGCTGAAATTAAAATATAGTAGAAGATGCAAGCAGTATCTAAACAGGCATATCAGGACTGAATTATCCCACACACCCTGCAGATATAGCTCAAAGTTGAATCTGGATCATTACCCCAGCTTTATTTCATTATGGCTGCGTCTTTCTTTGAAATGCAGGTTCCTGAAGTGTAAGCATTCCCAACAAGACAAACTTGAGTATCTAGTTCTCATCTGTGATCAAGCAATTCTGGCCACCTCTTTTGTTCTCAGATCAAAAAGGCAACCAAAAGCCATTCTTGAACATTTACACCATTCTTGTATTTGGGCAGTGATGCTCACTTCCAAATAACTGTGCTTAGAGTCACTATTTAAATTTAGTTCTGTGCATTTTTCTGTAGCTATACTGCTCACATTTTCAACATAAAATGGTAACACTAGCTTCCAAATGCCAGTGTTTCAAAAATTACTCAAAATACAGAAAGACAATCTAATGACAAATGCTTTGGGAATGGCAATTGCGAACCATCAGTTTATTTAAAGCCCTTCCCCACTAAAAGTTACCTGTACCTTTACAATGTTCTATGGTGGTTACATTAAACATCCAACAACAAAACTAGACAAAGAGGGAAGACAAACATCATCAGATTTCTTGAGATTTGTTCAGAAGACTAAATAAAGTGGCCAGAGGTTGCTAGGTAGCTGCTCCAAAGGATTATAAGTAAGATTACCTCCACAGCAAGCTAATAGCTACAGGGTGGAGGCAGGGGGGTCAAGACAGAGATCTGGATCAGAGAATCCTTTCTTCCCTGACCAGAAATACTACAAAATATGACTGTGCATATGGGGAATTTAAAGTAGGTCCCCAGTCATTTATACAGCTTACTAAGCCAATCACTGTTTTTCAGCCTAACCTGCCCCAGCAGAATTGCTGTAAAGATTATAAAGAGGGTGGGGAAAGGACAAGTAATGGGCAATTCCTGGAACTCTTTTGAGGAAGACTGGGATGACCTTGTAAGAAACAAACAAATAAAATCAAACCTGAACTGTCAATAGGAAAGTTGCACGAAAAGACAACTAACTTCTTACAAGACTTTAAATTCAAACAGATATAATGAACCGCACAGAAATACACTGGTGTGGAGTGGGAGGAAGGGAGAATTAACAGCAGATTTAACAATGATTACTATTAACTTGGTAAACAGTCAAGTGACAGTTTAAGAATATAATTAAGGTACAGTTTTATTAGACAGAAGACTAAGATTTAGTCATATAGCAACAGCTACTGGAAGTACCATCTCAGATGTTTATTACTCTTATCTTTGGGCATTGCTGCCATAGCAAATATCACATTATTTTTCCAAGTGCACAGAGAGAAGACAGACATTCTGTGACCTTATTTCTACTTTTTTCTCAAGCTGTATGACACAAAGCACGACGACATAAAGCACAGATTGTTTACAAAGCAAAATGACTTACCTTTCTGAGGCCTAATGATAAAAGATTGTGTCGCACCATTGACCAGCCTGCAATAACCATCGATCAAGTCAGCCATGTTCTCTGCAATGGTTAAGGACGGTGCTGTCACTGTCAGAGGCTACAGAGAGACACACAGAGAGAAGCAGGGCACCAAACAAAGAAGCATTATTTACAGACACAAACATTTAGCAGAACAGCTGAACTGTTAAGTCAGAACAGAGCATGCAACTGAAAAACAGTAAACAGAAAAAGTGTGACGAGGATTTAAAACGAGCCAGTTCCTGTGCCTTGCAAGCCTTCACGCAGAGCGCGTAACGTGCAAGCTGGCAGAAGAGCAATCTGCGTGCACAGAGCAGCAGACGCCTCAGTTGTCAGCCTGCCCTCCTTGTTGCACAGAAACTGTGGCTCTCCAGAGTTTTCCAACTCAGATGTGGCAGGTCCCACAGAGCCATTCGTCATATAGGATTGTAATACGTATCTAATAACTCAGACTGGCATTGTAAGACAGTCTTCTAATTTTGGCAGAAACCAAAAGACTAAGCAATTCGCATGATATGAGGGGCACAGAGCTCTGTAATAATTTGTTCATGGAAACAGATGTCAAATTTGATTGGCTAACGTTACCTGCTATGAAATAGCAAGGAAAAGCCAACAGAGAGTAACTAGCCAACAGGCTGTGCACCAAAATCATTCAACACTCAACTATTAATGTATTGATTGTTTATAGAGTTTTTAAAAATGGGCATGACAATTTTTGTCCAAGTATAATTTGGCAGAACAAAGTTTATGGCACCTACCAATGGAATATTCATTATACTTTCAAGCCTCATTGGTTTCAGTGAGGAAGATGGTCTTATCAGTGATAGCCCCCCGATGATGGAATGATCTTCCCAAGTGAAAGCTACCTGACACCAATGTTGTCATATTTTCAGTACCAGGTTAAGGCTGACCTCTACTCCCTCACATTTAATGACACATGATGGGACATATGAGCTAGTTTAACAGGTCTTGTTTTTCATTATTTTATAAACTGCTTCAGCTGTATTAAATTTTGTACATCGAAATGCTATGCTGTATTTTATTGTATCTGTATATTATGCTGCATGTTACGTCTGTTATGAAGTGCTGTGAACTGCCAAGAAGTCTTTGGCTAATGGGTGATATGAAAGTGAAATAAATAAATAAATAAATATCGCCTCCTTAGTGCATTAATTTAGTCTGGGAAGGGTAGAAGACAAATATTATTTCCTAAACTTTTCCAAAATCCTGGAGGGAAACATCCACTTCCACCTCTACTTATAAAGCATCTAGAATGAATTCACTCAATGAGACCATGGAACAACAATCTTATTACCTCTGGTGCACCAGCGATTTTCATTTGTAGCACTCCTTTCCTATCCTTATCTTCACTTATTGAATACTGAATAGTCTGTACTTGATGGAAATCAGCCAAGTGGGTGGGCTACAGAAACATACAGAGGAAAGTAAAAGCATTATTTAGTACTGAAGAAAATTCGACACAAATCTCGTTACTGATATAAGACAAACCAACCAGTATCGTCCTGAACTTTTTCATATGCTGACACTATTTCCCATTTTTTTTGAGCCCCAGAGCATTATCTCTGCTGTAGAAGGGGAAGGGGAAAAAACTAAGCAGATGACAATTCTCTGCCTAACCCTGAGCAGCCACTGAGTTAGAACTCAAATGGAAACTGACATAAGATCTACCAGGAAGTAGGAATAATGCATAACAACAACAACACAGAAGTCTGGAGAAGACTATAATGAAAACCTCTAGAATGTAATGCAAGAATTAACCTACCAAAAACGCGATAAGTATACACTAATAAAATATTATAACTCTGAAAAAGAGAGGAAGAACAAGTCCTTAATGTTCAAGTCTATCAATGAGTATTACTCCTGTAAATTTTGGAGGTGGGAAAAAGTAGACGACCGAATGATCCAAATTACTGTTCTGTTAAAAAGAAGTTGTCTACCTAAAAGGACACCATCTACAAATTTTAATTCTCAAGTCTGTTAGCAACCCTGACATTATCTGCCTGTGTATAAACACACACACACACACACACACACACACACACACTTAAAAAAGGTGACCCGCTTTCTTCACTAATTAATGGCAGATTTCATTTATGTATTTAATTTTAAATCTGTAAGCAGCTGAATAACCTAACTGGGCTCTATCATTTGCTTTCCCCATCATTTTCTACAAATTCATTCAAAGACCTCATTTCCCATTACTCTTTGCTAAACAAAAGCAAATTTAGCAAACACGGACACATGAAAGAACAATTCCCAATAACTGAAACTGCCTACCCCAAGGCATATTAGACAGTTGTTGCTGTGCAGACTTACATTGGAACCTTTGTCTGTAAGGTAGCTGATTCCTTCCTCCGGACCAATAGCCAGTTCCACTGAAATAATCCAGCTTGACTGTAATATTTAATTGTTCAAAGGAGATGGTGAATATTGGGAAATAACTTTTTAAAGAGTAATGAATTTCAACATTATCCCATTAAAAAGTTCTTCTTTCAAAGTAATATTAGTCAAACAAGCAAAAAATACACTTCAAACACCTGCACAAACCACACAGAAGATCATGGATCACACTTTTTAATCATGAAAAAAACAGGCATGGAGACCTCAAATTCCCAAGGGAAAGGTGTTTCCCATAGTACTATTTTTCAAATCTGCCTCATTCCACCAAAGCTGTGTTAAGCTCCTGGGTAAACAATACAGCAGATGCCCCTCTCCCCACCCCAAGTTGCACTAATAGCATCTGAGCATAACACGGCTTTGTTTAAATAATGCATAACTGATCGTAGTCACACAAAACCCCAGTCTGCATAACCCAGCAGTCTTTTGGCCAATAGATGGAACCAGAATATAATTACCTTTAGGTTTGTAGTTCTAGAGGAACAGCTGAAGCAATGTTCTTCTAGCAAAGAGGGGAAAGGAAGCCCCTTTGATTTTAGGGTAGGAGCAGGATTGGTTAAAAGGAAACTAAAGTATGAATAGTGCTGCAGCACTCATACATAAGCTAAGCTAGAGTTGGACTGCCCTGCCACCTTTCAGATATGAAGATATCCACATATCTGGAAGGCTGTAACTTTAACTCTGATACATCTCTCAGGGTTAAAGTTATTAATTTAATTCATGCTGAGGCTGTAGTATGTGCTGCTAATTTACATGTATGACCCTCACATTGTTGTATGAATCCAGTGAACATGGGTTATGCAAAGCGGTAAACAACCCTCATATAACCCTAGAAGAGACCATAGATTATATGAAGATTGCTTAACCCATGCTTGCCAGGTTTGCACAACACAAGCCATGCTGGGATTTTGATACCCAAAAGAGCTGCTGTGTACACTCAGTGAATATGCAAGGTGGCAGCCATGGGGCACAGGACGCATTGTGAGTTAAATAATCCATAACAAACCACTCCATGGAGCTGCATGGCAGGCAACATGAGCACCTGACGGTGGCAGTTATTGTTATGTGCCATCAAGTCACCTCTGTGTTATGGTAACCCTATCAACGAAAGCACTCTAAAATGGCCTATCCAGCTGAGTCTTGTTCAGCTCGTGCAAATTCAAGGCTGTGGCTTCCTTTATTTATTTATTTTATTTATTTATTTATTAAAACATTTTTATGCCGCCCCATTCGCCGAAGCCTCGGGGCGGCTTACAACAATAAATTAATATAAACATTAAAAATCCAAAAAATACAATATAAAATAAGCCGCCCTGGCCAGATAAAATCAGTTAATACTAACAGTTAAAATACCGCTTAAATAAAAAGGTTTTCGCCTGGCGCCGAAAAGCAAATAACGACGGCGCCAGGCGGACCTCTCTGGGGAGCGTGTTCCATAAGTTGGGCGCCACCGCAGAGAATAAACCCATCTTATACTCATGGTTAGTGAGCTTTATTTTTGTTTTAGGAAGCAATGTATTAGCACTTGCTTGTGTGTAAACTGTTTCTAGATGCAGAGAACTAGCATCAAATCCTCACTTAGACATTATGAGCCACTGGCATAGGCAAAAAAACATTTCTTTGGTAAGTGAGTCTAACTTCTTTCAGAAGCTTGTCATGAGGACAGGTCTTCTAAGAATCATAAAGCACTATATTCACTGAGTCATGCTAATGTAATTATTACTGATTTGTAGAGATATGCACACATCACATTTAATTGTCTCCATTGTTCCTACAGAGGACTGCAACATTTAATCAAAATGAGTAAAATCAATTGACCAAAAACGCTTTGATCCAACAGCATTGATGGTGTATTTCTACAATTTTGTATAATCTGGGGCTGTTTTATTGCATTGTGCTGATACTTTAATTGTGCTTTATTCATGTTTTCACTGAAAGCAGTATAAACTACTTTAGACATTGCTTCTATAATGTATCCAGAATTATACATTAATTGTTGTTTTGTTTTTGGTAATTTCACCTTCCCCTGCAGTTCAGTGGCCTACTTTCCACACTTAGTCTGAACTGTTTCCCCAAACAATTGAGACAAATATTCAGATGGCACAGAAAGAAAGGAGAAAAACACCTTCTCTATTTCCCTGGTGTCTGCACAGCCACCAGCAGAACAAGACCCTAACCCACAATTAAAACCAAAAACTATGAATTGCACTGCAGGCACTGCTGCGTAAAAGGCATTTCCCTTTCCACACACAGGAAAGAATCCATCTTTCCTGCTGCAGTGCACATATACACAGCTAAAAACAAGCATGTGCTTTTCTTCAAAAGTTTTTAATATGCAGATTTATGCAGATTAAAACATCCAAGTCATTGACTAATATTTTATTAATGAGCTGGCAGCCTTTACCCTATATTAAGCAGAATAAATGCCATTACTAAAATTATGAAAAGGCAAAAATATTGGATCTACTGATATAAGAAACAATAACACTATTACCAAACTCTTGTTTTCCTTCCCCAGCAGTTCAAATACAAATAATTGCTATGAGTATCACCCATTGTTAAAGATCATGCATGAATTTAATCCAAGTATACAAAGGCAAAGTGCCAGCTGATCTTTTTTCTGGCATCCAACTGCTGAACTAAGCAGTTAACAATTAAACTGATTATTTCATTATATGCCTTAGCAGCTAAATGCTTGCTTACCCCAAGGGCACACTTGAAGCATTCCTTGTCAAATCTGTACACTGGTGAGAGGATCTCAAAGAATTTCAAAATACTTTCTTCCCTGTTGAGGTTGGCAAATTGTCGAAATGTTTGCTGGATCATTTTTCGTAGGTTTTTGGCCTAGTAAGAAAATATTCAGCTATCAGCATAAGGTATTTACTTATTTATTTCATTTTTATACCACCCAATAGATGAGGCTCTGCCAGCAACAGTAAATATTAATCAGTTTTCAACACAACACTGGCAAAAATTCCTTAAAATATTGGAAAAACAGAAGTCACAATTCTGAAGCAGAAAAGGGGCTGTGTCAAGCATTAATAATGGATAATGGATAAAAAGTAATTAAATCACATTATAATGTGCTGTTAATGAATGGCAGTTTAACTGATGTATAACAAAAAAAAACAGCCTGAATAGAATCCCGTGCTTCAAACTAATTGTTCTTGTTCTCAGCTTGATCTTATTGTCTAACGATATGATTTGGTGAAGGAGAGAGCAATTAGCTAGCTCTGTATCTCATATATTGACTCCAACCTCTAGCAGCCAAAGCACAGAATCTTTCCTAAGCTCAGGCATCAAAAGTGTTTGTCGTGTCATGTCGTGGGAAGGGAAGGGAAGGGGAAGGGGAAGGGGAAGGGGAAGGGAAGTTATAGATTCCATTCCAGTGAAAGTTACTGGCATTTAAGTCACAACTAAAAACCATTAATTTCCATTGGATCTAAGCATGACTCATCTTCACTGACTGAGGTCTTAAACAACGATATAGTTTAAATAACCTACGGCTTATCCTTATTTGCTTTCAGCATTTGTTTCAAGACATATGGCGGGCATTATGAAAGGGCATGTGCAAGCAGAGTTTATTCATTTAAGATGGATAACATGTTCTCTAAGCATATATATAAAACAAGCCTCTGAGGATGTTAACTGCAATACAACATTTACATACAATACCCATGATTGTTTGGGTACTGTTACCAAGTTTTTTGGTTTAACATACTTGATGTCTCCTTAAAGTTCGGAGTGCTTCATAGAGACTACCTCAACAACCCTGTTAGAGAGGCCAAAATTATTATCCTAGTACAGCAGTACAGTACTTAAACTTTGCTTAAGGTCATAAGTAAGTTCACTTGGCACCTCATACACATAACTGAGACTGGGTGCTACACCTCTCCAGACATCTCAAACACATTTAGCTTGTTCCAAGAATTCTTCAAACATACTTAAAAATGTCTGACATGATTCAGCTCAACGAAATGCTTACAGCAGACTCCCCAAACATGATTTATTTAAATCATTTATATACCACCCAATATCCAAGGTTCTAAAATTAAACAAAAATTAAACACACACATTAAAAGAACAGAACCATAACTGCTATTATTCAGCACAGAAGCACAGCAGTGGTGTGCTTTATGTTACATACTGACATCAGGTATGTGTTTTATTGCCATATTTGCAATATTATGTAAAACCCCATTTATTTCCTGATTACTAAAAGGCCCTAGTAGACAATCAGACTGCTTGAAGCTATTCACGTTATGCTGCCTGCAGTACCTATAAATGGAACTAATCATATTGTGCCAACATGCTACACATCACAGTAAGCTCCCGCAAGAAGCAGTAAGGGCTGAATTTAGTATAGGTGAAAAGCATGGCATATAGCTTAGCTCCAGAAAGGCAACTTATGACTAACTAAATAAGATAAATATGTAACCATTTTAATTTATTCCTATTGATTTTAATCTTATTTTAAATATGATGTTAATTTGGTAACATGTTGCAAGCTTGGACGTGTGAAAACAGATAAAAGAGGGAGATAAACTGAAGTAATTAAAAAGAAATAGCCAATATAACTCCAGCTATAATTCGTATGAATCTTTCTTCTAACTTCAGTGGGAAATAGACCAGATCTGAAATAATAATAGTTTTTGCTGCCTTTTATGCATTGCAGATTTCTTTCTTTTGCATCAGAAGATATACACTGAGGTTGTAGGTCAGTAGCATAGCACATACTGTACAAGGCATATGAAGTCCAAGGTTCAACCTAATGCACTGGTAGCCCCAAGAAATTTAGACAGTAGCCCAAGCTTAGCCCAAGACCCTGCTGGCTGTCAGAACCGACTATGAGCAGCCAAGCTGGTTCCTGCTGGATGTGGACTCCCATAACCCCCAATCAGTATGGCCATAATCAGGGACAATGGAATTGCAGTTCAAAACATGTAGAAGAAACCAGATTGCCTTCTATTGTCACAGATGATTTTAGCCTAGGTGAACAAATGGTTCAAATTTGGTTCCATATAAGTCAACTTCATGTGTTTACAGTGTGGAAGGAATTAGTGATTAAAAATGACACATTACTTCAATATCTAACCTTACAGATAAGGAAGGTTTCCCAACCTGCCAATCTGCTCAGATGCAAGAAGACCAATGATTAATGTTATAATTAAGCTAAGCAACAATGTAGTATCTTTATATGCTGCCCAGTCATACTGACAATAGTTTCTGAAGCAGACTACTGTGAAATGTCTAGACAAGGGATTGCTCAGGTACCTTAGGCACAGTGACAGCACACCACAGTCACACACAGACCACGATGGCCCCATCAAGCCCTATGGACAAGCCCAAGGAAAACAACAGTTTCCCGAGAGTCTGGCACAAAGCCTGAGCACCTCGCAGCTCTTTCTGAATTTCCCTGTGGCAGGCAATGCTAGAAGGAACTGTAGTGATGCAGTCTTAGAAATTCAGCCACTTCTATTTTCCGTCAGCTAGCTTAGCGCTACCTCAACCTGACCACCTGAATGCTTCCACAGATGCCAATTACGGTTTGTGTTCATGTCTTGCACCTACACTTTGAAGCTGTCTTCACTTGCACAGGATTGTGACCTATATATATATAGTTGCAGAAGACAAAGGGAAGAAAGACACTCTATACAGTAATTTCTAGCATCAGAGCAGAATATAAGATTACCTTTACCGAATCCAGCAAACTCTTCGGAAAGAATCTTTTTAAACCAACATCTTTCCTGAAACAAACAAAACAAAGTCGGTGATATCAACAACAAATGCTTCATACCTTATTCATGTAAAATAAAGCACCACTAAATCACATGAGTATAGCCAGCTGCATTCAAAAATTTAAATGCATATGCCAATACAGAGATCAACTGCAATATCATTAAAAATAAAATCAGTTAGTCCCCCTCAATCTGACCTTTCTGTTCCAAAATATTTTAATAATTATTTTATTGATTCAATCTTCAGGGCAAAAATATCAAGAAGAAGCAACATGTAGCAAATAAGTAAATAGGTTTATTGTTGCAACCACAGGTCATAACACAAGTACCATAAAATACCATAAAATGATAATAATTAAACAATGAAGTAGTAAAATTATAAAGTAATAAAATATTGTAAATAAAAGTTACAACAAAATAAAGCCAAGGCTACAACTGAGAATTTAAGAATTTCTTTCTAAGTTTAAATGACAGCAGAGCAAAAGTGGCAACTTGGTTGCTAACAGTTGGAAACATATCTACAAGGAGATAGATCAGTTTTTCAAGGTCAGAGCCTTAAAGTACTTCTACCTTTAGTAATTTGGTCCCGATCGATTTGTAAATGGAGCATTGGAGGGCATACTGAATTACGTCCTCTTCTTGACCAACACCATACTAGATATGCATGGATAGAGGCTTCTTATACAGATTAAACCAATGCTTATTTAACCCAGGTTTGTCAACCGTAAGATTTTGAAGGTGCACTACCAAAACCTGTATCTCATAAAGTAGGCTGCTATCTCTATTGTATACTATAATGAACCAGTCTGTGCGTGACATGCTGCAATAGCTTTTCTGGGCCATCTTCAAGGTGCACATCTTTATATTGTACAACCATTCAGTTCAGTTCGAATTGATGATTTATAAAAATTGTTTGAGTCAAATTCTGCTGTACAATAGCAAATCCTTCCCGAGATTTGACTCATTTTCTCCTTCCATTTGTCCAATTAGAGTATAAAATTCAACACTGGGCTCAAGGCTGGAGTTAGCAAAATAGACTTTTCATTAGCTTTGTCAATTGAAGGCATGATCCTTTGCAAATTTAGGCAGATCAAATACCTACAGCAGGCTCCAGCCAGAGAATTATAGGCCCTTTTTCTGTCTGAACTGGCACTGAACTGTGCCTTTATTAATGCTCTCCCTATGACATACATTTTCCTAGCTTGGTTTACACTAAGTAGCACTGTATGCTTTATTAAAGATAATAAGCAGGCCTGTGAATAAGCTTCAAGTGCTGAGAATTCCAGCCTGAGTTATCTGCAATGGAAACCCAAGTGTTTGTGCCTTCACATTAAGCTGTGCCTAATCCAAACAGTGTACACATTTGGTATTTGTAAAGAGAACACTGGTGCAGGTAAGCCTATCGCTAGAATGTGGGCTTGAGAATCAAGCTATGGAGAGGAGACAGGTGGGGGAAGGAGACAAGAGAAGACTGAAGGTTGTTCTGGATGAAAAGGAGAAATCTGTGAGGAGGGCGAGTTGCTTGCAGTGTGCCTGACGCTTCCGCTTTTACTCCACAACCCACAATTTGCTCATCCATGGGATGTGAAGCATGATGCCCAAACCTGGGACTAAACAACCAGATGGTTAACTCAGTGACAAATTGTAGGTTAATGGTTATATCCAATGGTGGACTGATCACTAAAACTGGAAGTAGCAAACATGCTTCAGGCAGTGTTCTTGGTCATTGTGGCTCATGCATGACAGCCCCATGGGTAGATAAAATTATGTGTTATCATTACATACAAACCAGGTCACTGTGTTTCAAAAGATGTGTGATTCGTTCTCAGGCATATCAACTATTGCAGGTGAAAATGTATTAAAAGTTCTTTTAAAACAGTGTTTTGCAATTTAATCTTGATTATCAAAGACTAGGCTCTCTGAAGCCTTTCTGAATCTTGTTTCTTGATTTTAAACAAGGTTATGGTAACAGCCCTGAGGATGCAGATCAAGGTGCATCTGGAAGATGGGAAGAGGAAAAAGGGTACAGGATATTCTACAAAAGTCAGGGTGTATATCTTGCTGCTAACAGAGAGAAGGAGTACAAATATGCTCCCGTCATTGCTGCTGTTTTCCATATACTGGTACATCTTCACCAACCTCTCCTCCTCAAGTCCAACAGTTAACATTTCACATTTAATTTTTTGTTTGCTGCCTGTTTTGCTTCTATTTTTGAGAACCTTGAAAATGGGGAATTAGATCATATTTTAATTTATTTTGTTGGGCCCTGCATTTGAATTTGTAATATATTAATTCTTGTTAGCCTCTTGATGATGTACACTTAGAGTTGTCTGATATCTGCAATTTTGCCTTGTCAATTGCCTTCAGCTTTTCAGCTGTCAAACGGAACAGTAGGGTAGAGTAGGTAACAGATTGACAAGGCAAGTCTGCATATAAACTAATTTGTCCACAGTTGCCTGCTGTGAAATGCCTAGCTGTCAACTGAAAACGAAAAAGGAAACATGGAGGAAGTTGGTGCACCAAAAGAGAGTGGCGACAGTATCACCCCTCGTAGCAACGCAGTCCTCTGGCTTTTAGGTGTTGAACTAACAGGCCTCACCATCCCATCTTTTCAATAGCAGCTCCTCCAGAAAAAGATAGCATTAACTCCTCAACACTTTCTTTTTCAGAGCACTTGTTGCTCTTGTTAGTAAATTTCCGTGACAGTTTGATTTTCTGACTGGGAACACATACATAAAGGACAATGAGAACTGTCAGTCCAACACTTAAAACTGGGAGGATTACATTGCTGAAAGAGCGATATTGTCAGCATCCCTTATTTGTGAGCATCTACTTTCTTCACTTTCCCCCCTTTGCTTTTCCATTAACAGGTAGGTAATTCAGCAGCATCCAACACTAGGCCCAAACCTCTTTACAGCACAGCTATGACAGAAAGCATTGCAGTGGCTGCTCTTCTGAGGTCACAGTAACAACCCTGACAGATTCCAGAATGGTCAACAATGGGGAGGTGGGTGGGAAGGGGAGAGGGAGAGGATAGGCCAGGATTTGTATAATCCTATTACCTTTCTGGCCTAGCCCACAATGATTCTGGTAAGCTAGACAGAGTCAGAGGTCCATCTAGCCCATTAAAATATGTTTAAGAGGAATACATGGCTAAATTGCTTCTGTCCGCCTCCAGACCTGCTTGGCTCCTGCAGGCATAGAATAGAATTGTTACCTAAGTTAATAAAAACAAACCTGTCCTTTAACAAGCTACAGCAACATCAATCACCCTTTTCTGGAATTGAATGCAAACCTCCTCAAGCTTTATGGTGACAACAGCTGGAAGCCACAATCTCACTGTTTTAGTTTTGGTTTTTAATATTAAAATTCTGGCCTTTAGTGTTGCATTACTTTTGGAGCACATGCTGGGCAATTTGTGTTTTTGCTAACTGCATCATAACTTAGTAGAGACAGAAGGAAAAAACAAAGCCACAGATTGTAAATTTCCAGGAGCTGATAAGTAATTAAAGAACTCAGTGTAATTTAGTCCCATGTCCAATTAATCTAACTGCAAACAGAAAATCCATTTTATACAAAGCACTGTTAGATCTCTAGAACTAGAGTGGTTAATCCCACAAGCATTAACAGAATGCAGATGACTGAAAGGGCTACAATACTGCATATCAGCAGGTTTAAACTATGAAAAATCTAATTTGACTTCCTCAGGCAGGAGATAATGAGTTCTTGCCTCCTCAATAGGTCGAGAGGCCTGAAATTTATTAGGCTTTATAATTTCTCCATTTAGCTTAATTAAAGCAGTAACAGTAGACCATATCATGACCTCCCTGTGAAAATGGACAAGATTGCAGCTTCTAGATGAACATCTTTCAAATAAAAAAGAAATAACTCTGACTCAGAGCTGAAAGCATATACTCACTCTAGCACTTCATAGTTTGACTTCTTTTCTAAGGCATTGCCTCGCATCTCCCAGTATGATCTCCTGAAATCAACACAGAAAATATTTTGAATAGTCACTTTTTCAAGCCATTAGTGCATGGACAGTTCTCAGAAATGTGAAATTGAATAAACATGCGGGAAATGAATAATCACAGATCTTCAACTTTAAAAAGCACATCATACACATACCAAATACCTTCATCATCCAGGGAAAGCTTTCAAATGTGCAGGAACCTTACATCTGTGCCCAGACTGCAACTTGGAATATTGAGCCCAGAATAAGCTCAAGGACTGTTCCTTCTCTTGGATGCACAACATCCAATGTGTGTTAGGTCTGACAGTGTCAAAAAACCAAGGGCAATTCCACCAGCAGGCCAGAATTTCACACTAGGCTAATCTCCTAGCAGGGCTATCAAGGAGGAATACTCAAAGCAGAGACACCGGACTAAGATGCATCCACACGCCAGGAGTTGCATTTCCAAAAAAGGGAAAAAAAAGGATATCTCAAATGTGATGGGGTGGAAAAATTTCTCAAGAGCAGCTCCTAGGCAGCAGCGGTAGTTGAAAGCAACACTGGTGGACGATCTTTCACAAATAACAGCAGTGACACTCAAATAACTCTGGATAGTACTGCACAGAAGGCAGCAATGGTAAACAATCCAAAATAAACAATAAATAGTGCCAGGAGACTCTCAGGTCAGAAGGTACCCGATCAGTTACTGGGAAAGAGTAAAGGGCAAGTACAAACAGCGCTCTTGCTAGTAATGCAACCAGATCAAAACCAAAGGGACACCTAGTGGTTCACATGCACAGAGGCAAAAGGAATGTCTGATGCTGCACAACACAGAGAACTGGAACATGGAAGGTGTATGACTCAAGGCTAACTAGAAACTGTAAAGCAAGAAACTGTACAGTCTGACATTGCAGTGCTCGATGTGAATGTGCTGAAGTGGACTGGAATGGGACATGTTTGGTGGGATAAACACAGTGTTTTACTCTAGAAATGACACACACAGAGGAAATGGAGTGTATCTAATACTGAAACAAAATGGAGCACAGGTAGTAAGGGGCTATACTGTTAAGTACGACTGAATCAAATCAATCAGAATTTGTGGAACACTTGTCAACATAACCACCATTCAACTCTATTCTCCAGCAACAGAAGAAAAAACAAAAACTTTTACGCAGATGTCCAAGAGGAAATTATACAACAGGAAAACAAGACATACTGATCATCACAGGTGACTGGTATGCAAACGTAGAAAATAAAGTTAAATGCAACTTTGTGAAAGAATTTGGTCTGGAGTCAGATATGAAGCAGGAAAATGATGCACAGAGTTCTGTGAAGCCAGCATTCTGTTTATTGCAAATACATACTGCAGGCAACTGATCAGACAACTGTGCAACAGTCGATCAAGAAATCAAATAGACTGCATAACTGGAAATAGATGATGGAGAAGTACTATTATCAGTGCCGAAACAAGACAAGGAACAGATTCCAGTAGTGACCATGAACTGATAATATAAAAAAATCAGAGAAAAGTTGAATACGTTAACTCACACAAGCATAATGCCAAAATAGAACTTCAACAGTATTCCTGAAGGATTTAAAATGCACACAAAGGGAAAAATGCATTAATGAACTTAGCTGATTGTGAAACAGGAGAACTGTGGACTTAAACCAGAGACATCCTTAGGGAAGAATGCCAAAAGACAGATCCTGAAGCAAAATGGGAGAGCCTAGATTGGTGGCAGACAATACACTACCAAACTCCTGCTAAGAACAGGCAAGAAGAAAATCAAAAGATGATCTAGGATCAAAATCCTGAATCCAACTTTTCAGCAACATCATGTAGAGACAAAAGGAACTAATAAATGGACCAGTGCAAGAAGACAGAAGACAACAACAAAAGAGGAAAACAAGAAACCTTTTCCAGAAGGTCTGAAAAATCATAGAGAAATTCAAGCCTCACTTAGGAATACAGAAAGACCAGCAGAGGAACATACAATCTGACCAGGAGAAAATAAAGAGAAGCTGGAAATAAAATATGGAAGAACTATACAGAAGAGATGAAAGGCTGACACGTCCCTTCAAAGAGGAATCCTATGAAGATCAACCTAAAATATTAGAAATAAACATTGCTCTGCAAATACCCAGAAAGAATAAAGTACCCAGAGTACACTGGGTACCAAAAGAACTATTTCAAGATGCAGAGACACTATGGGTCTGAATACTAATAAGAATATGTGAACAAATATGGAAAATAAAATAATTGCCCAAAGACTGTAAATGTCCAATATTTATTTATGTCTCACCTTACATAATTCTCCTCCTTCTCTCAATATTAAACAACAACACTGTGAGGTAGGTTGAGCTGAGAGTCTGTGACTGGTCCAAAGTCATCAGTGAGCTCCATGCCTGAGTAGGGACTAGAACCCAGATTTCCTGAGTCCCAATTCCACACTCATAACCACTACACCATACTGGCTCTCATACCATATCCTATATGGAGCCAGAAAAGCCTGATCATCAAGCCGGATTCCAAAAAGGAAGAGGCACTGAAGATCTTATCACAAATACACATAAGTTACTGAAGTGCACCAAAGAATTTCAGAAGATTAGTCTATGCTTTATACACAGCACAGCCTTTGACTGTGTGGATCACAGGAAGTTGTGGATGGTTTTGAAAGAAATGGCTGGGACCCAACACTTGATAATCCTAAGAAGTAACCATATTGTGGTCAAGAAGCTATTAGTAAGACAGAATATAAAGAAATAGAATGGTTTCCCACAGGCAATGGGAACAGGCAAAGGTATCCTTTATCTTTCTATCTAGGCATGCATGTGAAAACTAGAGAGCGAAGAAAGCTTACTGGATAACCTATAGGAAAGCTTACGGAGTTGTTGGACACTTCTGTGTTGATCTCTACCTTCACTTCAAGCTCAGCTCTTAACTGAGAAATTGTATCTGCGAAATGGTTGTTAAAAGCACAACAAGGTTTTAGCATTTTTAAATTGATACTCGTTGCACAATGGCCTGGGTTCTAGATGTAGTGGAAAGAAGAATAAAGCCGCAGCCTGATCTTTCTGAGGTTGCATTCCACACATTAAGTCAGGGCCATGTTATAATCCCTTCCACTGGTAGGGTCCGCATCCGACTGGGGAGTCTTTCTGTCACTCTCCCTTGCTGCCAAGACCTTCTGCCCGTGACAAAAAAGAGCCTCCTTAAAGCACTGAGATATCTGAAACAAGTTCTTGTTGGGTTTCTCAGTTTTTAACAGATTCTGTTACATGTCTTTATTTATACATGTCATTCGCAGCTTGGGAGTGCTGCTCGACCCAGAGCTGTCATTAGAAGCTCAGGTGACGGCAGTGGCAAGGAGCGCTTTCCTCCAGCTCCGACTGATCCATCAGCTGCGTCCCTACCTGGAGAACGACTGCCTGGCGACAGTGACACACGCTTTGGTCACTTCGGGGCTGCCCTTGAAGATGGTCCAGATACTTCAATTGGTGCAGAACAGAGCTGCCAGGTTGCTGACGGGGACTGGGCGTTGTTCTCACATAACCCCAGTCCTCCATCAGCTTCACTGGCTTCCCATCGAAGTCCGGGCCCAATTCAAAGTGTTGGTTATCACCTATAAAGCCCTCAACGGCTTGGGACCTGGTTATCTAAAGGAGCGCTTGCTTCCATATCTGCCCTCATGCCCCCTGAGATTGGTGGGGGAGGCCCTTCTCCGGGAGCCCTCCGGGAAGGATATTAGAAGGGCAAGTACTCGGAGGAGGGCCTTCTCTGCGGTGGCGCCCCACCTGTGGAATGCACTCCCCAGAGAGGTCCGCCTGGCACCGTCGTTATTTGTTTTTCGACGCCAGGCCAAGACCTTTTTATTTAAACAATATTTTAACTGTCAATTGCTGTTTTTATTTATTGGTTTTATAGCTCTGCTGAGATGTATCTGGATTTTTAAAGTTTATTCAACATTTATTTGCTTTGTAAGTCGCCCCGAGGCTTGTTGCAAAGGGGGCGGCATAAAAATGCTTTAAATAAATAAATAAATAAATAAATAAATAAATAAATAAATAAATAAATAAAGGTGTTTGAGATTCAAAGATGCCAAAATGTCTAGCTTGTGATGGACATTCCCTTCCTCAGCTTCCTTTCCTGATCAAAAATTTTAGAAACATGCAATCCTCCACTGCCATTACTAACTAGTATTATTCTTGGCAGACAACACCATTCTGAGTCATACTACAACTCAAAATTACAGCTCAGCATTTGCTTTTCTCCCTTTATTACTCTGATGCTTGATGTACCACTAATTCCTCTTTGATTGTTACTTTCCTAGCCTTGCTGTGCAAAATAATCGCAGAACTGAAGCAACTGTCTCAACTAAGACCCCTGAACAGCAGTGTTCAGGGTCTGGAAGAGCATACTGTATTGGCATTAAAAAAATACATTTGCAGGATAAGAAAAATCATGCTGGTTCAGAGCAAGGGTCCCTGCGGTCCAGCATTCTGTTCAAACAGTGGCTGAGCAGTGGTGTATGAAAGAACAAGTGGGACATAAATGCGTTGCACCCTTCTTCAAAGACAAAAAATATGTTGTTTAGGGTTGGTATCTCAGCTGGGTTGGGTTCACATAAAATCCTTTGTGGCTCCCTCTCTTGGAATGTTTTGGAGCCTTCTTTACACGGCTTGAGATTTCTGTTCAACATAGTATACAACTGAAGAGGAAAGGCGTAATAGCTTGGTGGTGGTGAGAGAGACATGTCTTCAAAGTTTCAGTCTAGAGTACCTGGAGATGCCAGAAATTAATGAGAGACCTTTGCATATGAAGCACATGCTTTTCAACCTTTGTGCTATTTGCACAAAGAAAACAAACTTAACATACAGTTTGGATTTGTACCAGTCTAACAAAGCCAAATGTTCAATTGGGAAGCTCCTATGAAATCCAATATCAGACTTGAAAAGCATACAGAGGGAGGGAGGGAGGGAGGGAGGGAGGGAGGGAGTTCATTTCACAGGAAACTCCCTTCACAGTGCATAATGAAGCCTCACCGGAAATGGAAATCAATACTTTGACATTTTGGGAAGAAGTCAGTTCAAGGTAAAGGTATTCTATAGATCTGGCCAGGAAAGAGAGTAAGGGCCTGATTAAAGGCCTCCAAGTTGTAGCTGCTCCCTATCAAAACTAGCTGCTCCCTCTCATTTAAGAAACCTGACAAAAATTCTGTTCCTCTGTGTGACATGTTAGATAGGTAGGTCTCGTTAACATTCACAAAAATCTAAACCACAGCTATTTTTGCTATGTTCAGAGTGTGCATGAAAATGTATGCAAGTGTGAGAGAGAAGAAACTAAATCTTGACATGGAGTCCATGGATTTTATTGAGATGACAATGACATCAGAACACCATGGACTGGAATTACCTGTCTCTCTACTAAAAGATACAGATTCAGTGAGATGTAGTGGTTAAAAGTGTGGGACTGGGACTCAGGAGATATGAGTTCTAGTTGGCTCAACTGTGGGCCAGTCACAGACTCTCAGCCCAACCTACTTCACAGGGTTCTTGTGGTGGGGATAAGATTGAGAGGAGGAGGGGAATTATGTAAGCCACCTTGAGTTCCTTAAAAGGCAAACAAGGTCGGATATAAACAAACAAGCAAGCAAGCAAGGAAACATGTATACATCTTGGTCAATGAGCATTTTCATTTGGAGACAAGCATTGAAGTAACCTGGCTTCCTGAAAGCCTCCAAAGTCCATTGCTACTTCACCTGAACTGAGCTTCAAATTCAGGAGGGTAGCAGAAAGGTACCTGTAGTCCCTATATTTTCATAATCTGTTTCAGGTCAGAATTTAGGACAGCTCAGGACAAGTCTTTTTGACTTAAAACTCAGAATGGTCCTAGCTAGTAAGTGAACTTGCTCCTGTCAGCTTCTCCCTTGTCCTGCACATATTTTTATTTGAACAATTAAAAGGACTTATGACAACAAATCTTGATAGCGAGGGATGCAGTGTTTAAATCAAATTAAATTGTCCCCTCTTTGTATAGGAAGTTGATGCAACGTTTTGAGGTGAGCCACTCTAGGCATTGGTAGAGGCACTTCAATGCCTGATTCTGACACGGCATGTGACAGTCACCAGACACTGTCCTCCTCCCTTCTTTTTGCCAATATAACCCAGATTTCTTCATTGCAACCACACTTTTTAATACACTGTTTTCCATGGTATAGATTCTGTGCTAAACTGGTGGTCCTGTCCTGCAGAGGAGGGGTGTGGTTTCAACAGGCTGGGAGTAAGCAAGCGAAACTGCAAGAAGGAGCACCATGTCATGGCCCTTTTCCATTACTTTTTTGTGAGAGGGCAGAAGATGCCCTCTATTTCCTCCCCCTATTTGGAAAAAAGATCCTCCATTCTTTCAGTAGTTTGCACCTGTTCATAGATACGGAGGGGGGCACACTTCTTTTTAAAGGGTCATGTCTTGGCACACATCAGTTTTCATCTCCTGCTGCAATTGTGTTTGTTTGAGACACAGAATCACATTTTCAACACAGCAGAAACTGAGCTGTATTCATTAGAATGAAATCCCATGAAATATTTATACTAAATGAATTTGCCACTATGACAGCAGACTCCCTGATAAACAGAAGGGAGTCTAGTGTAGGTCCTCCCTTTCTCACAGAAAATATGCTTGTATTACGTTACTTTCAAGATTACAGTTAATTTCCTAGACATCCGAGTTATTTGGCTGTATGTAAGAAATGAAAAGAAGTGGTACAAACGAGACCACTAACTAGAGTTTCACAAAAATTATCTACAATTTTAAAAGCTTAACCCCTGTGTTAAAATAAACTGAAGGTTCTACAAAATAGCCTTTAAACACAATTCCTTTCAACAAAAAACTGCTCAGTCATATTTATCAAGAATAAGATCCAGTTTGACTTACAAATGAAGGATTGAACAATAAATGCATAGAATTATTGTCTTACCGGATTTCAAGGCAACCTAGCTTCAGGGCTATTTCCGGATCTACCTGGTCTGCTATTTCAAGCATATAGTCATTTTTCACCTGAAGGAAAACAAGCAGGAATGTGTCATATAAGAAAGGGGGAAAAAACAGTGCTAAAGAATATTTCAAAGATCATAGTCTTTATCTGTTCCACTAGTTTTCCAGAAAGATTTCATCAGCCTTCATTAGATGTAAATCATTCTCAACCACCAAGAAATCCCTTCTATTATTAATCTGCATAGATTTGCCCGTTTAAATCAGTGTTACGTTTCAACGGGAGAGATGCACATGCACTTCAAAGAGGGATATTGTGCACTTCCTTTATAGAGGGATGTTTGGGAAGCAGGAACTTTTCCATGTCACCACTGGCAAGACACAAATAACTCTTCTTGTTCCAAATGTCATACAAAAGGACAAGGAGGGGAAGCACAAACCACTTGTGCTCCCTTTCCCACCCACCACATGCATTCAGCATCAGGAGCTGCTGTTGGTGAAAAGGTATTAGCATTCATCAATATGTATCTCTGAGAATCAGTTGTGGCGTTAGGAAAAATCTCTTTGTATTTGCTTCACTTCTGCATTTCTGATAAAAGGGAGAGGCACCATACAAGTCCAACTGTCAAGCCTGCCTTGTTTCCCAGGCATTTTAAGCTCATAGTCTTGTTTTATGGTTTCTTACTGTCTTTCTTGTTGTAAGATTATATGTTAACTTTCCGTATTTATGTTCTGTACAACACCCTGATACAATGTGATAAATAGTGGTTTATAAATACCCAAATAATAATATAAATCTCTGTATTACCAATTTAAGTTATACTTGCTAACTGAAATAGTGAAATATAGTAACTATAACACACAACTGCACAACTACTTTCCCAAAAGCTTCACATTCACAGGACAGTTTTAGCAGGAATCCTATCAATGGGCAAAATAGCCGCTGGATGGATTTTCTCACTTTTTCAGAGAAACAGGGAAGATTTGTTTACAGCAAATACTGGATTAACTAGCTCATGAATTGTCAAGAATACTGCTATTGCTTGTAATAGAAGTCATTATTTGTATACATCTGAATCATTTAAATAAAAAAAATTCAAGCATACTTATCTCCTCATGAGTCTTCTACCAATACATCCAGTGTAACATTCAAATGCCTGACAAGGTTATTCCACGTCTTTATTGCAAAACAGAACCACAAAGAATGACTAATGGCTGGGGGGAGACAGACGGAGCAACCCAACAGGCAGAATATCCAGCTGTAAATGCAGCCAACAGAAGTGGTTGTGCTGCAAGCTGCGTAACTAGATTTTCACGACAATTTCCTTTCTCAGAAGTACTACAGGGTGCAAACCTTTATTATGCACTGCATGCATTCTCTCCCAGCACCATGAGTACTTCGCTACAGGGAACAAAGGGTCTGTAAAAGATGTCCCAATTAGAGAGCCCCACTTAAAGCAGGAGATACTGGCTTACCCAAACAATAGTACCAAGTGGCTTTCCAACAGCTGGCTGGATCCTTTCTGAAGACCAAGCCAATCACAAAGAAAGCATGCCCCCACCCCAATTCTAACTTTTTTTTAAACCTGCTAAATATAATAGGCTAAAATATAATTTATCCCAAGATATATCTCAGTGCTCCTTTCACTTTGACAAAAATGTGGATTTACATATCAATAATTATACATTGAGCAAATCTACCACTGGACAGTTCAATGCTAAGTTAATCTGAAGAATGATTACTAACAAAGAATAACCAGCACAATGAATAGTGGTATGAACAGAGATGAACTGCATGAAAAATGAATTATGATTAATACTTGTGCCTGACAGTGTTTTTCATCTTCAAAACCCTTAAAGTTTACAGATAACAAATCACAGCTTAACAGAATTACACTGAAAGCATGGAGTTCTTCTGCACTTATGGATATTTACTTGATTCCTGAAAATGATTGTGAGCTTAATATACACTAATTAGAACTGCTGTTCAATTATATTAATGTTATAATGATATATTTCCCCAGGAAGCTAGTATATTGATTTAAAATCCTTGTAAGCTGCTTTACAAAGAAAATCATATTACATTAATCAGATCAACATGGTGATTTAAATTAATGTAGCATTTTGCTCTGACTATGTTTCCTTTAACAAAATATCATATTAAAGACAATTGCCTATTACAAAATTGCCCTCAAAATTGCATTTTTTTTCTTCTCACTTCAAGAAAAATAACTCGAAACTTTTCAAAGCAATGCAGGCCAATTTACACATGTCACTTTCTTCCAGGGACACACATTCTACCTATCAGCTACACCAAATTGGAAGTAACAATTCCATTTCATCTACCCTTACTTTCTTTTCTTATGCTTCAAATCTAATACAAAATTCTCTCATCAATCACACATTTGGTGTCCAGTCCTATGGCCTGCAGACACCGTCTAACTTTGGAAATACATTCTGAGGTCAGAAAAGGAAATCTGACCTCGGAAAGCCCTCCCTCCACCCTCACATGATTCTTTCCCCAGCAGCTCTGTCTCCAAGGATGAAAGACCACCTCACAGCCAGCACTGGAGAGGGATAGTCTATGTGGAGGGTAGGAGTAAGGCTCTGCAAAGATATGAGGTGTCCCAGTGGGGCCACCTCTTCGTAAGCTGGGGAAAAACCCTTCACTGACTAAAATCAGTCACCTAATTTTTTTGTGGGATGGGAGAAGCACAGAGCCAATAATCTCCTCTGCACAACTTCTGTCTTTGACAGGATGCAATTCTCTGAGTTCAGAATATTATGGGCAGCCACACTTGTGATGTTGTGAGCCATACTCTTAATACAGGGGTACACACTACTACTACTTCCCTGATGTCCTGCAAAAGTAGCCTTTGATCTGGCCTCTGAGAGGATGGAGAAAATATAAGAATGAGAAGAAATAGCCAGTGCTTATCTAATTAAGGGTCTTACAACATACTCCTCAGTGTACGGGAGCTCCGCAGAGCCCTGCCCGTATCCCACCCATTCCACATGGAGAATTGCAGGTTTGTACAGGAGGACCATACAGGAGGCATGGTGTGTGTCCTTGTGGTGCAGGTAAATCTTTATGTCTCACTGTGCCCCTTTTTCATATGTATGTGTACAAGCAACATTTTCAGAACCACTTGTAAAAACTTGCAACAAATTTTAACACCCTAACATGGGAACTCAATTTCCTAAGGCAGGTTGCCATTATTACACATTTTACGGGTGAAATTTTATTTTGGCAATAATAGGAGTGCAGGTTCTACAAACGAACATTTCCAAAGGCATGCTATGAGTATCACTTACACATTTTAGCCCCAGAGTTCAGAGGAGATAAAAATGGCTGCAAGTTCACAGCAAAACTGGGATTTCAATCTGTGACTTCTACGTTGAACTAGACCAGTACTGAATCTTTGAGTCAGCTCCAAAGTGGTGCAATGGCTTGAAAAGACCAAACATCATCTTATATTAAAAAGATAAAAGAATTGAAATCCCTCTATTTTAATATCTACATATAGTTGCTCCTAGCCAGTAATATGACCACAGCTCTGCAGCCCCCTCTATCTAATGTTTCTGGAATCACTTTACAACAGAAATGCAAAAAGAATGAAGAGTTTAAAAGCTATCTTTAAGGCAATACTTGTTCATCTACAATAATCTTTTTTCTACTTTTTATTTCTATTCTCTGGTAGATATTTAAGAAAGCTGTTTATGGTCAGAATTGAAGACTATGAAGCATTCACCCAAGTATTTAAACATCATCTTGTGTTGTGTACCTTCTCAAAAAATAGCATGCAAATGAAAATACCAATTAAAGTACCATGAGCAACACCACAGAGCAACAAATAACTTTCCACTGCAATGTAGCTTTATGTTTTTATACTGAATGTTTTATGCTAATGAAAAGGCTGATTTGTGTCTTGCTAAATACAAGTTTCTAATTAGTTGAGAAATGCTACGTCTTGAACTGCTGCAGCCAGAACATATTCAGGTTTCAAGGAGCATGATTCTTGCAATCTATGGGATATGCCTTGTGTGGCTTGTATCCTCATTGTCGCCATCTCCTTTTGGGCCACAGGTGAAGGCCAAGGAATGAGACAGGAACTCTCCAGATGTTTTGGACCACAAGCCCTAGAAGTCTCAGCCAGCATGGCCAGTGCTCAGGGATTACAGAAGCTGAAGCCCAAAGTATTTGGAAGTACCATGGTGCCAGTCCCTGCTCTAATGCATTCTAGAATGAACATGCAGCTCCCTGTGACTCTTGGGTAAAGGCTCACTCTTGTTTACTGAACCAGGGAGCTGACAACTTCACTGAATAGGAGGGGCAAGTAAGTGAAGGTGAGCTCTTCTGCTCCTGTTTTAAGTGCTATAACAGCACTGCCTGCTACTTAAGCTAATCACCCTTCAGGATGGCCAAACACAGCACTCATGTCTCTTTCCGATCCAGGAAGTCTGTGGCCCGCATCAGATGTACTGAGGCTCTGCCAATCCCACACACTCAGCTTGTAACAGTCCTTGAAAATTTCACTGTTGCTTCCAATGAGTACAAAAACCCAGTCCTGGGTGCCACGCTGCTTTTCAGTACTGTGCATGTATGTTCTGGCTCTCTTTTAGCTTTCTCATCTGGTAATGTTTCAGCCTTTCTCCTGACTCTTTCTGCTTTTTCGTCAACTATATATGATCTCTAACACTGAATGTGATCTTGGACCTAACAGGTTTTTAAGATTTGTAGAACAGCTTTTAGAAAATTCTCCTCAGTTTATTTTTAGTTACTAGTGCATGAAAAGGTTAGGCAGAAGCCCTAGAAACGGTATACTCAATCTGAAAGGAATGCAAACCCAAAAATAATAGTCAAATGCTGTACAACTGTACCCTGTCTAAAACCATTCTGAACACAAAATGCTCAGTCAAGGAGAAGATGAAATGTGCAATCAACTCAAAAGCTCTAAAGTCTGTACACTCTGTAATGAAGTGTATAAAAACAAGGCAAAAAATATTCCTAATCACAAATCTGAATTCTCCTTTTGGTATCTTACATCCAGGAAGTAATATTCCTCTTAACACACAAGAAAAAGAACGGCAAAAAAATCATGTCTTATCAGAATAAAACCAATTGGACTAAAATGCCATTAAAGAGCTTCTTTTGTTCTTTTTACCCACCTACAGTCTATTCTATCATACTAAATTTAAATGGTCCTGCAAACAAATAGCTCCCATCAAACAAAGTTTAAAAAGATTAAAGCAGAAGATATACAAGAGTTTCTTAGGTGAAAAGCAAGCACTGGTGCTTGAACGTGCATTTATCTGGCCTTGGCCAAGTTCACGCCAATTACTTCTGTGCTATATTTTCTTCATGTTTGGGTCCATTAAGTTCTCATATCTTTGGGGAAAAATTATTGATTGCTCAGATATGGCGGAAACACACAAGTGATACCAGCATAGAAGGCTCCTAGAGGAGATGTCACGTGGTAAAATATCTAATTGCATTTGCATGCTTTTGAACTGCAAGGCTGGAAGGAGCTGGGACCGAATACGGGAGCTCACCCCATCTGCACATGCAAACTGTCGACCTTTCCATCAACCAGCTCAGCGGCTCAGCAGTTGAATCCACTGTGCCACCGCATCCCTATAAAATAGTCACAGGCGATATCAACAAGGAATTCTACTTCTTACCACTGATTTTTTATTATTTATTTTATTTGTATCCTGCCTTTTTCCTACAAAGGGCTCAAGGCAGCTTACATCATTCTCCTCCTCCATCTTATCCTCACAACAACCCTGTGAGGTAGGTTGGGCTGAGAGTCTGTGACTGGCCCAAAGTCACCCAGTTGGCTCCATGGCTGAGCAGAGACTAGAACCCAGGTCGCCTGAGTCCCAGTCCCACGCTCTTAACCACTACACCACACTGGCTCTACAATTGATCTGGTCCCTTTTCAGTGCGCTACCAAAGCAATTACAATTGTCTGATTGTCAGTCTTGTTGGTTAAGTTATTTATTAAGTACCTTATAAATGCATTTATCTGGATGTTGAAAAGTAACAAATACAACCAAAATTCAACTAAAACATTCAGCAATATACAACTATAAACTGATGCAATTAACACATTTGAAATTAACAGCAGAAATGAAAGTTAAACCCATGTCACTGGGACCAAAATAAACAAACTTAGGCACTAAAATTATTAACAATGTGATCCTATAGTTGTCTCTTCAGACAAGAGGTCCACTGATTTCAATGAGGTTGAATCCCAAATAGTGGGCATAAGATTGCTGCATAAAATACCTTAAAAATTTGGAAAACGCTTTCTTGTACATACTACTTCATTCTTAAAGGAGACAAGAATTCTATCTTATGCCTACAGTACTCTAGGTTTGAACTTAAACTAAGCTAGTTGGTGCCTTGTTTTGTCTGGTTCAGTCTAAGACTAAAGGGCCAATAAACTGAAGCTCAATCCAGATAAGATGGAGGTCCTGTTGGTGGGTGATTCAAGCTCCTGGGTAGGTGCCTTGAGCCTTGCCCTGGACGGGGTTGCACTCCCTCTAAAGGACAGGGTCCGCAGCTTGGGAGTGCTCCTCGACCCGGGGCTGTCCTTGGAAGCCCAGGTGACAGTGGCGGTGAAGAGCGCTTTCCTTCAGCTTCGGCTAATCCATCAGCTGCGTCCCTACCTGGAGGAAGATTGCCTAGCAACAGTAACACAGCATTGGTTACTCCCCAGTTGGATTTCTGTAACGCGTTTTACGTGGGGCTGCCCTTCAAGACAGCCCGGATACTTCAGATGGTGCAAAATAGAGCTGCCAGGATGCTGTCGGGGACTGGGCGTTATTCTCATATAACCCCAGTCCTCTATCAGCTCCATTGGCTTCCCATCGAAGTCCGGGCTCAATTCAAGGTGCTGGTTATTACCTATAAAGCCCTAAATGGCTTGGGACCAGGATACCTAAAGGAACGTCTTTTTCCCAATTTGCCCTCCCAGCCCCCGAGATCGGCAACAGAAGCCCTCTTCCGGGAACCCGCTGTGAAAGACGTTAGGAGACAGAGTACCCAGAGGAGGGCCGTCTCTGTGGTGGTGCCCCGACTATGGAATGCGCTCCCCAGAGAGGTCCACGTGGTGCTGTCATTATATGTTTTTTGGCGCCAGGTTAAGACCTTTTTATTTAAACAATATTTTAATATGTTTTAATATCGAATTTTATCATTGTATTTTATTAATTTGCAGCCAGAGTGGGTCATCAATTTATTTATGTTGTTAGCCATCCAGAGATATTAGGAATTGAACGGCATACAAATTTTATTAATTAATTTATTGATAATAAAGGTGATTGAGGGGCAAATTCAAGAGAAAGCAACTTAAAAAACAGACAAAAGATCAAATATACAATATTACCAGGAAAGTGGGAAAGTTTTCAAGGAAAGGCCTGAGGCATGGTCACAGTTCCAATCCAGTTAAGGAGTCAGTCCAAGAAAAGTTCATCACAGCTCCAAAGGTCAGTAGTGGTCACAGAACAGGTCAGGGAAAGAATGGTTCAACACACTAGAAGCTGAGGTAAGATGTTATTCCAGCAACTAGTACACTCCAATTTAGAGTTTATTATAGATCATTACAGGCCCTCTAATATAATTCATGAAGTAAAGCCTTCAAGAATACTGGGAAAATCAGATGGTAAAAGCCAAGTAAAGCTGGGAGAGGCTTCAGAATCCTCCAGCTAGTAAGGCAGAAGAGGATAAAGTTTCTCAAGGCTGCCCAGACAAATCATAGAATGCAGATACCTGAATACCCTGGCATGCCCTTCTTTCCAAAAGGCAGCATTTTAGCCTCCTTCAAAAGCTCCAGGAAAAGACTTCCCTTTTTGTCAGTTCAGCAAGCAGTAGAAAAAGCACACTAATTTACTGAAAGATGCATCATCTTCAACACATACAGTTATTCCTGGTGTCAGGAGATACTAGGCTAACACAAAGTATGCTTGATTCTGCCTTCGGTACAAAACAAGCACTGTAAAAGAAAAAACAAATCCACCAGAAAAAATGTGCACTAAAGTATATATACAAGAGATAACTGTCCTTCCCTACCACCCAAAAGTGTAATATATGTGCAGTTCTGGGCACCGCAGCATAAAGGTGATATCAAAAAGCCAACATGTGTCCAGAAAAGACCACCAAAGATTTTGACCTAAAGGCAAAATTCTGTAAAGAAAGATTGAACAATTGGACAGGTACAGTCCGCAGAAGAGAAAATGCAGAGGCGATATAATACATATTTTCAAGTGACTGAAGGGTACCACAGAGATGAAGGAGAAAAATTGTTTTCTGCAGCTTCAGAAAACAGGAAAGGGAACTAAATATTACAGAGGTACCTCGGCTCATGAATGCCTTGGTTCACGAACAAATCGGGTCACGAACAAAAATTTCTGAAAAATCTTTACTTGGGTTGTGAACACCGCTTTGGGTGGCGACCAAGATCGCAGCCATCTCCCCTCCCACCATGAGTGGGGAGATGGCCACAATCCCAGTTGCTTTCGTGCAGGGAAGACATGCGTGATCAGAGGCACACTAAGTTAATCCATTCCAGGACTCTGGTCGTGAGCCAAGTTAAATTTCCCCATAAGTTCAATGTAAATAAGGTTAATCCGTTCTGTTACCATTTTTTTAAATCAGAAAAATGTGAAGCAAAGTGACAACAACAAAGATAGCGGCCATCTCCCTCCCCCACCCCAACCACAAGTGCGGCCATCTCCCCACCAACCCCCAGCACGACCGATATCACACCTGTCATCCCTGCACGTGCCTGTCATTGCAGGGCGCTGGGGGGTGGGGGGAAGAGACATGCATGATGGCGGGCACACTGGGGGAGGAAGAGACGGATGCAAACGGTGCGCTGGGGGAGGGAGAAATGGCCGCGATCTTGGTTGCCACCCAATGCGGAGTTCGCAACCCATGTCAAAATTTTAATGAAATTTTTGTTTGTGACCCAATTTGTTCATGAACCAAGGCGTTCGTGAGCTGAGACACCACTGTATTTATTCAATTTTAAAAGCAATCTTACTTTAATATTAGTATTTAAATATTATAGGATAAAACCCCTTCACTGTGACTTAAATAAAAAACATATATACAAAGACCCACTCTCTCTACTGGAACTTGTTCTTAGGTAAACTAAGAGAGGATTTCAGCTTCAAAAGTATAAATACACAGTTTTGTACAAGCAGAATATACCTAGCATGAAAAACACAGAACATGCTGCTAACTGTTGTATACAATGCTACCTAAGCACAAGTATCATTTTTTGCCTCCAAAGAAATTGGAAGGAATACGTTTAAAAATACAAACAACATTATTCATAAGCAGCATACTGAGATATATTACATACTGAGATGTAAAATTGAACCCCACAGTATCAATTAATTATTCTTGCATGCTGTAGATTGTCTTACATAAATCTTCACTGTATGCATTGTATAGTACTAGAAATCAGTTATTAAAGCTGCAGTGCTACATACACTGGGAAGCCCTATTGAACACCATGGGGTTTATTCCTGACTTGTGCTCAGCATATTCAGAGTCCCAAGGAAAGATTCTTTCAGACTTAAAAGCTTAAGGAGGAAAAGGAGGCTAGCACAAATACAAGTAGTATGATTCCCGTTTTCACTGAGACAGAGCACTGTTCCGCTGTATTTCTTGCATAATTTGCTGACTAGTCACTTCCCAAACTTCAAAACATTTATTAGGGAGCAATCTTTAAACCTGGCAGTAGCCAGGGTTTATGGTAAATGTGACTTGTGTGATAAACAGGCAAGAAAAGAGCAATGAAAAGTTCATGTATGAACATTTCCATAGAGCAGGCTTATTCTGAGACATAATTTAAAAAGAAATAAATCACAGATGGTGTCATTTATGTGTCCCAGATGTTTCTTTTTAGAAACCTACACTTTATTTAGCCAACCCTTTTCCCTGAGCAGAGCAAGAAATGGGAAGGTTGCCTTCCAATAAGATGTGCATTAATACAGATTATTTTATTTTGTATAGGAAGGACAAATACTCTAGCAAAAGTGCAATTCAGAGCAAGGTTTGGGTAGGAATGTCACAGAAATTTGCAGGGGATGCCAATCAGTTTGGATTTCTACGACTATGCAGCAGACTAGTTGCATAAATTCTGCAGACCAGGAATAGCTTAGTATGGGGTTAAGGAAAATGTAGAAATGCCCATTAGCACTAATGTACATTACTGTGAGTGTACATAACTAATCTGAACAAATGCACATTAACACTAACGCACAACTGATAAAGTGCAACAAAACCCTAAAGAAGCCCAGTTCCACTGATGAAAGGGCAAAGGAATGAAAGACATCTGACATGACAATCCATGAAAAAAACATGGAATTGATTTAATAAAATGTGTACTCCCTAGGTATGGATGAGAACAACCAACTCAGCAGGCTAGAAAAGTATTTAAACAGATTCTGATATTTTAGCTTTTATATGATCAACGATGCACCAACCTTTCTGCTATTAATCCAACAGTGAATAGTCCAAGAGAATATTATGGTCTGGCTTTTCAATCCATACAGCCCTGTCAACATAAGCAGTAACACTGCTATAAACATTTCTTGCAGAATTAAGAGTGGAGTTTTGTTCTGATGTCTCCCTTCCTGGCTCATAACTAGAGGACAAGAGCAGCAGATTGCATGTGTGTGTCCATGGTGGCAGCTTTTTATTATGAAATCCACCTTTTTATTCAGCAACTGACACTTAAGTTAGCTTGCAAACATAGAACGACACTGATGACAACAGGAAAATGTAAATAAAATCTGTGCTTTTATATATGTAATTGTTGAACCCCATGTCCCAAAAAACCTGACAATGCTTTAAGTAGCTCCTTCCTTGGATGTCAACAGTTCATTCAATGGTTCATTGATAGCATAAAATCTATGTTTTCGGGGATTCAAAACACCAGCTGGTCCACATCAACATCAACACCTCAGTTACTCTACATTTCATTGGCATCATCATGGTGGCTAAGATGGTAAATTCAGAACGTCTTTACCTCTCTACACATCTAAGTTCTCCCCTTTCTTTTTTTCCCATCTGCTTTAAAGCAGATGAATCAATACATGCCTACTCCAAAGAAAATAAAAGCTGCTGTTTTGCTTTATGGCTCTTAAAAGCACAATTTGGCATTAGGGCAACAGTCATCTGCCATCTGTCCTCAGCTGCTGCTCTGCGTTATCAAAAAGGTCACCATCGCTACATTAATGCAAGCTGATCTTTGGCATCCTGCACTAATTACATAGCCTTCCCTTCTCAATAATAAGAACACTACTAAGTGGGGGAAGGGAATTAAATGCTGACAGAGCATTGTGCATGGCAGAATGATTTTAAAATGATCCATTCTGTCATGGTGGGCCGATCCCAGCTGTCTCTGTGTGCTCCAGCTTCTGAAACTGATCACACAGTCAGATGATACACTTGGGAAACATATAGTATTAGATATGTTCAATAGCTCTTAATTGCGTGGCTCAAATGCTCCCTATAAGCAACCTCATGTAC